AGACGGGCAACACCATGCAGGGTACAATGAGGGAAATTTTGCCAGGATAGCAGCATTAGTCTACTCTTTTTTGATTTCCAACTGTCGAGGGATCTTTAACATGCACAGCCTGTAGTACACGGGGCCTCGATTTATTGTCTCATCCAAACAACGACACTTTTTCCATGTCAACCCCCACTTACATCGAGACACAGTCTAAGACCTTAAGACAGAGTCTAGACATTTAGACACTATCCAAGACATTAAGACACTGGCTTAGACATTAAGACACATTAGTCTAAGACAGTAAGACACAGTAGTCCAAGACATTAAGACACAGTAGTCTAAGATATAAAGACACAGTCCAAGACATTAAGACACTGTCCAAGACATTAAGACACAGTCCAAGACATTAAGACACTGTTTAAGACACTGTATAAGACAGTAATACAGTGTCTAAGACAGTAAGACACAGTCCAAGACAGTAAGACACAGTAGTCCAAGACATCAAGACACAGTCCAAGACATTAAGACACTGTCTAAGACAGTAAGACACTGTCTAAGACAGTAAGACACAGTCTAAGACATCAAGACACAGTAGTCCAAGACATCAAGACACAGTAGTCCAAGACATCAATACACAGTAGTCTAAGACATTAAGACACTGTCTAAAACATTAAGACACAGTCCAAGACATTAAGACACTGTCTAAGACAGTAAGACACTGTCTAAGACAGTAAGACACAGTCTAAAACATTAAGACACAATCTAGACATTAAGACACAATCTAGACATTAAGACACAATCCAGACACCACATATCCAACCTGTAAATCAGTTACTTGACAAAATTTCACAAAAATAAGTAAATCTTTAAGATTTAAGACACTTCTAGAATTATCATCAACCATATTCTGTTCCCTTAGGAAATTTAACAAAACTAAGTAAGTTTTTCACATAATAAACTGAAACCTTTTAAAATATAAACAGATTTTCAATATGGTTGTCTTCGAAACACAATACACAGTATATATTGATATAAAAACAAACTCTATTCAATTCTTATAAATAGGTCTAATCACTTGAAACACGATACTTTATAATTACATATTACTTGATACCATCTACTTATTACTGTGTAGTCTTTATATACAGGACAGTTATAAACCTGTTATACAGGACATTTATAAACCTGCTATACAGGACAGTTATAAACCTGCTA